AAAAAAAAAAAAAAAAAAAAAAAAAAATATATATATATATATATATATATATATATATATATATATATATATTCTTAGTAGAAATATTGACAACTACTTTGAAAAAAAGAAAATAAGAAATGTCAGTAGGAAGTAATATTTTCAGCATAAGAGGAAAGAAATATAAAATCAAAATTAGTTGCCTTTTAAATTATAAAACCAACCCTATTATATTTAATGTAAATGAGATATCAGTATAAAATCATTATTTTGCTCTTTCTAAAATATAGGTAGATATTCCCTAATTCCAATCACTAAAAAGAGCTAGAATACCAAATCCAATAAAATTATAATGTAAGCAACATATGCATGTATAAATTTTCTAGTAGTTCCAGTTTTAAAAGGTAAAAGAAATAGGTGAAGTCTACGTTAATAATATATCTTACTTAACCCAGACTATCTAAAACCTTCTCATTCTAACACATAATCAAATTTTTAAATATTAATGAGATATCTTACATTTTTTATACAAAGTTTTCAAAATTCAACATATCTTTTTAGACTTACAGAACATTTCAGTTTGGATCAGCCACATTTCAAGTGTTCGATTGTCACATGTGTAGAGACTACTGTATTCAACCTTAATGGACTGTGCATGCAGGTCTAGAAATAAAGAAAACCAAGTAACTATGAGCACCCCTGGTGACCAGATTGGTAATGACAGGGCAGTGGAGAGTAAAAGTATTCATTTCAGATTTTAGTGACATTGTGGTTGGAATTTTTAAATCCGTATCTATCAAAGACAACATAGTATGCATTTTAGGTAAATAATATGATGTTTGGCACTAGCATTAAAATATCTCATCCAAGCCGGGCTTGGTAGCTCAGCCTGTAATCCCGCGCTTTGGGAGGCTGAGGTGCATGAATTGCCTGAGCCTGCGGGTTTGAGACCCGCATGGGCAACTTGGCGAGACCTCATCTCTACAATAAATCAAAAATCAGTCGGGCGTTGTAGCGCGCGCCTGTAATTCCGGCTACTCGGAAGGCTGAGGCGGAAGGATCGCCGGAGCCCATTAGGTCGAGGCTGCGGTGGCCGGGAGCGGCCACTGCACTCCAGTGTGGGCGACGGAGTGAAACTCCAACTCAAAAAAAAATCTCATCCAAAAAGTGGCGAGATAAATGAAACATACTTTGGAAAATTATGATTACCAAATTGAGGATGGGTACATAAAAATATTTTATGCTCTTTGCTTTTGTGTGTTTGAATATTTTTATATTAAATGGCTGAAAAGTAAAAATGCTTTAAAATATAAAGAAATAGATGTTTAATCCAGTTAACTAGTTCTAGATTATCAAATTTTAATGTCACTACCATTACTATTGAATTTCTTTTAAAAATGACAGCATGGATTATTTTATTATTACATTTTAATAAACTACTTAGATGTTAACAGTGCCCTAGCCACAGGATGTCAAGGATTAAATTATGCATCTAAGACTCTATGTTAATTGTTAACATAGAAGCTGAGTAGAAAGTTTATAGCCAGGCTCAGTGGCTCAGCCTGTAATCCCAGAACTTTGGGAGACCAAGGCTAGTGGATTGCCTGAGCCTGAGGGTCCCAGATCAGCCTGGGCAACTTGGCGAGACTGCATCTCTACAATAAATCCAAAATTAGCTGGGCGTTGTAGTGTATGCCTATAGTTCTGGCTACTTGGAAGGCTAAGGCAGAAGGATCGCCGGAGCCCAGCAGATGGAGGCTGCGGTGGCCGGGAGTGTGCCACTGCATTTCAGCCTGGGCAGCGGAGTGAGATTCCAACTAAGAATGAATGAATGAATGAATAAATAAATAAATAATAAATGGAAGTTTATGGAATCTACAAATCTTTTATTTTCTGAAAAGTGAAACAACTATTGAAATGAATCTTACATTAGGGAGGAAATAAAGAAGAAAAAGGAAAGAAGAGAGAAATGTTTTGTTTAGATAGTATGAATACATTCTCAAGGGAGAAAGGGAGAGAAGGAGGGAAGAAACTTCAGAATCTCTGAGTAGAACAGTTGTTTGCTGGATTTTAACAATGAATATCAAAACATTGAGACTGTCAAGATTTTTTGAACTTTTTTTAACCAAGATAAATTGAGAACTTTGAAGCCTATATATCATAACTTTTCTTTATTAAAAATCAATTCCATCCTCCTCAACTTGATAAAGTGTATACTTAATGGTGAAAGACAGGAAGCTTTCTCACGACAATTATGAAGAAAGCAAAGACTTCTCTTCTCACTAGTTCTATTCAATATTGTTCTAAGTGTTCTATCCAGGGCAGTAGGTAAGAAACTTAAAAAGTATCCAGATTGGGGCGGCTTCTGGAGAGAATTCGAGATGGGGACCTCCCTGGACATCAAGATTAAAAGAGCGAATAAAGTTTATCACGCTGGGGAAATACTCTCCGGTGTGGTGGTCATATCTAGTAAGGATTCAGTCCAACACCAGGGAGTGTCTTTGACAATGGAAGAAACCGTGAACCTTCAGCTCAGTGCCAAAAGTGTGGGTGTGTTTGAAGCTTTTTATAATTCTGTTAAGCCTATCCAGATTCTCAACAGCACCATAGAAATGGTGAAGCCAGGGAAATTTCCCAGTGGCAAAACAGAAATTCCTTTTGAATTTCCTCTGCATGTGAAGAGTAACAAAGTTCTATATGAGACTTATCACGGCGTGTTTGTCAACATTCAGTATACACTGCGCTGTGACATGAGGCGTTCTCTGTTGGCCAAGGACTTGACAAAGACCTGTGAATTTATCGTTCATTCTGCCCCTCAGAAGGGGAAATTGACGCCGAGTCCTGTGGACTTCACGATTACACCTGAAACCTTACAGAACGTCAAAGAGAGAGCCTTGCTCCCCAAATTTCTCATTAGAGGACATCTCAACTCAACGAACTGTGTCATCACGCAGCCCCTAACAGGAGAGCTGGTGGTGGAGAGCTCAGAGGCCGCCATAAGAAGTGTGGAGCTGCAGCTGGTGCGCGTGGAGACCTGCGGATGTGCAGAAGGCTATGCCCGTGATGCCACAGAGATTCAGAATATTCAGATTGCTGATGGGGATGTTTGCAGGGGCCTCTCTGTCCCCATACACATGGTCTTCCCCAGGCTGTTCACCTGTCCTACACTGGAGACCACCAACTTCAAAGTGGAATTTGAGGTTAATATCGTTGTGCTTCTTCATGCTGATCACCTCATCACAGAGAACTTTCCACTGAAGCTCTGCAGGGTATAGCCCAGGAGGAGGGAAGCACAGAAAACAGGAGTGGTCACATGGAAGTCCAGCTGGTTATCTGACTGTTAAGGGGAGCTAAAGCATATACTTATTTTCATCATTTTTCTGTATCAGAAATGAAGTGAATTCTTCAGATTACAATTACTTTTCTTCTTCATTTCTTCGAGACTTCTGCTTCCAACAGAGGTCTGGAATCAAACCTTTTCTCTGAAATTTAACAGGATTTCTTAATGCTGTTTGCAAGACTATTTCACAGAAAACATCTCCTGTGGCTCCTGACTTACCTGTTCCTTTCTGGGGACATTAAAACAACTGTGACAGCGTTAGAGATTTGGTGGAAAATGAGATCATGGGGATGAAAAGAAACCTCTCCAACCCAATAATGGGTGTAACTGGGGACTCCTGCAGCAAAGGGTCTGTGACCAGGCAACATCCAGTATGGCCACAAACATACTCATCACTTAGGAAGTTTGTAGATACCCTCCAAGATGGAGTGCAAAGTGGCATCCACTAGATGTATGTACCTTTTTTTTTTTTACTCTGTACTGTACTTCTTTTTATAACATTTTTTACTATGACTTAAGATTTATTAGGGA